TTCCGTTCGCTGCCCTCAGAGCCTCGCTGTCCCGCAGCTCCCTTGGGGACCTGTGAGCCTGCGTTGCCCTTGGCCGCTCGTTTTCCAGCGTAGGCTGGTTTCTTCGGGTTCCTAGGCACCTGACTTTTCTCAGTCTGAGCCTTGGAACTCGTTTGTGGCTGCCTATTACCTTCCGGTTCAGGCTGTGTGTTCGGATTGCTCGCCGTGGCTTCCGTTCTTCTGCGAGCCGCCCTTTTCTTGGCAGCCCCGCTGCGGTTTGCCCGTTTCACCTTCATCTCTCCAAGGCGAGCTCCTACCTGGGCAACATTGTCGCTCAGTAGGCGCTCCTCCTCGGACAGGGTGGGGTTCTCCGACGAGATATCTCCTTCCAGAGCCCTCTCAGCCTTGGACCCAGGAGCCATTTTTGTGGCCCCCCTCGATCCGAAGTTTGAGGGCCCCGGGGAAGACATCTCGTCGGGTACCGGTACTCGGCTGGTCCCTGGTGCAGAGCCCACCCGAGTATCGGCCTTGGCATCCCGGAGGTTGCTTGTGTTCCCCGGCCCGCGGTTCGAGCCTGGGATTGTGACGTGGTAGGGATGTGGAGCTTCGGGCCCCCTTAAAGAGCCCGAAGTGGGTATGGAGGATAAAGGGATTTCCGAAGGCCCTGAGGCAGAGCCTTCAGCAGGAGGAGTTGGGTTTGGGGAGGCGGGCCCCAAGTTGGAGCCCGCACTTGGTTTGGTTTTTTTTTGGGGTTTTTTGGTTTTTGTTTTTGGGTTGTCCATGAACTCGAACATACAATATTTCATAACCGCTTCAAAATTGACATGGGGGGAATGTTCAAATTGCTATATTGGTTATAATTGTTGGAAACAATAATATGTATACGATACCTTCCGCATGATATGGACAAAATGATATCAATCAACATAGGTGAATATTATGTTTCGAATATTGTTGAAACAATATTCAACCAATATGCCATCGAACTCCAATATACAATATTGCACAACCGCTTCAGAATCGACATGAGGAGAATATTCAAATCACGATATTGGTTATAAATGTAAGAAACAAAATGTATACGATATCTTCCGCATGATATAGATAATATGATATCAATCAATATAGGTGAATATGATGTTTCAAATATTGTTTAAACAATATCCAACCAATATGCCGTTTAACTTGAATATACAATATTGCATAACCGCTTCAGATTCGACATGGGGAGAATGTTCAAATTGCGATATTGGTTATTAATGTCGGGAACAATATGTATACGATGTTGTTGTATCGACATTTGTAAAACAATATTATATAACATTCATGGATATGTTTTTCAACATATTGTTAACGAATTTTACAACCAATATTGCTCCAATATTGTAGCTGACAATCCATATTCAGCTCAGGTTGAACCAATATTCCACCAATATTATCATTTCAATATTGTATGTCCAATATTCTCTCATATTGGACCTATATTATGTTTAACATGTACGATATATCTATATCGGCCCAATATGAAATCGGGTTCCAGCCAATATGATGTGCTACCTGAAGATTTTCTGGTATATTCACTTGTTGGTGTACTGCATTTTGATCATTCAGATTACTGACTTGTTGGGTAGATTTCCATAGGACCAGTACCCTCACAACTCGGAGATCTGATTGTCTTTGCCATTATTCCATATTGTTTACATTCATGCATTGTTCTCAATTGATGAATTTTTTTCTACAACTCCTATGACATCAGATTCTGGATGTCATATCAGATGTCTACTTGGAAATTGCTTTTTTCATTCTATGAATTTCTGTTACCAAGTTGACATGAACACGACAGTATTCCGCAGCAATGTTAGCTTCATATTATTGGATTTTGGAAAAAACATATGAATCCGTACCGTGATAAGCTTCAATGTCAATAGTGCTTGATAAAATTGAATGTAATCTCCTAGTAAATCTGACTGATGATGAACCTCACTTTCAGTTATTTCCAAATCAAAAATCACCGATCCCCTTTGATTTTTTCTCTCATAGCTGGAATCTGATTGCTTAGTTATACAAACGAACTAACGATGAATATAAAGTCGGTAGCGCTCTGCTACATAATATTTCAATGAATTTTCCTTCACGAAATACAATACTGTTCAAATATTTGAATATCTATACATGCACACAGTGGAGTGAGCCTCCATATGTGAATAAATATCACTTGTTGATAATTCAATAAAATATAACCCACTTACAGGTCGAGCACTAATGATTGCTTGACATCCAAATATGCATAGCGATTTAATCATTGATGTATTCACCCAAATGTCCTTCATTTGACCAATGAACATCACAGGACAAAGTTGGACATAACAGATGAAACAATCGATCTCCACATTTTTTAAACAATACTGGATATAATGTGGATCAATCGGTTTCATCAGAATTAGGTTTTCAATTTTCCAACGCAGAAAGAACAATTTTCAACCAGAGGCCAAGTTCATAGAGATATGAAGTACTGCCATGAACGATAACGTTGACGGATTTATATATATCATCCTGCGTTCTGCCACGTTTACTTGAAATTTTAACGTACGTTGATGGAAATATGCCATTGAGTCGAGATTATTGACGCTTCCGATATCCAAACAATCAGAAGAGGCGAATACAAACCGAGAGCAAAAATTCATGTTCACGTTACGATGATAATTATTATGACTTCATTTCAATTCGTGGATGATTCTTGAGGATCATTCTCAGTACGATAACGTATTTGTGGAAGTCTACGTACATGTTGTACTTCTACTCTCTGATATTCTTGTGTTTGTGCAAACCTCTGCTTGGTGTAGACCATATTTGCTTCAAATTCATTATGTATGTTACCTAGCTTACATTCTAGGAAGACGTTGTCTGCCTCTCGATCACAACCAGTACATCATCTCGATGCTCAGCAAATCAAACTATTCTCTCAATGAGCCGAAATCGTATTTTCACGCCAAAGTGCTTCCGATCTCAGGCAATCATGCATTCAACGAATGCTCTAACTTCCCCAAGAACATATAACAGGGCTTTTATATTCCACTCGAATGACCAAAATATTCACAATAATTCAACGCTTCCAAAAATTTGCCGTTTGTCGAGAAACCAGATACACCTTCACTCACCTGGTTACGTTCGTTTTTCATGATTCATTTACAAGCAACAGGTTTCACTTTTCTGATATTGTTGATAAACTGCTACTGAACTGTAATCGATCACCAATGTCATTTGAATATCATGCTTGTTGATTTATAATTCCAATGAAATACACTATCAATAAGCGTCTTCACATACACTCCTCATCACCGGCTACAAAGCTGCGTTGCCAGGTCGCTTCGCAAGAGTACCCCGATTACTCTCTCGTTTCTGCAGATTAACAAGAGTGATTTGTGTTGGTATAGTTATCACTTAAATCATGGATTCTGAATCCTTCGGTACTTTCGATCTCAATGCAAATATTTCCTGAGAAAGTTACTGTCCTGTGCATGGTGTATATACTATGTCATGCTCTTCATGAGTAGGATGAACCAACGGAAATCAATCAAGAAAATGAAATATGCTCAAGCCCTCAACCAGAATGTGAAATTTGCCAGCTGATGAGTGGTGATTATATTAAGTTATGTTTGTCGTGTTACGATTGCGTTTAGAGAAAAGTTCCAGTATCAACTTCCAATCCCCTAGGAATTGAGCATGCTACATCAGTTTCTCTGATCGAAAATTGAATGTACTCTTCTTCAACCTGAATTGGATGAGAATGTATCTCACGTCGGAAAATGACAATTTTCAATCAACTCAAACGCCCTGTATATGGAAATTCAATCTTGTTATTGTCATGGAAGTGTTATTTTGATAAGCTCGCGCCAGCGCTACCCCTCTTTTTCGCTAGAACACAGGCCGCGTTCCAGTTAAGATCAAAGCGTGTATTTCCCTATGCCTATAGTGACGGTCTCTTAGCTTAACTACTTACTTGTCATTTTGAACATGGTTTATTTCACTCATTCTATTTGAGAATAACGTTGTGAGTAAAATGACACCTATTTGTCATTCTTTGACATGATTTTACCTGAAATCAACAATCTCTAATTCTCACTATCAACGTTTTCAATTACGATGAACTATGATAATCCGAATGATATTTTGATATTCATATAGGTAAACTCTATTTGAATAGTTTCTTCCTGTCATCTAGATGCGAAATCAACCGTTATATGCCATTCATGGCACTTTATATTGAGAATTTCAGGATGATGGGTGTAACAGAATAATGAATGAGATGTCATCTTGATTACAATGTGATTTTTCATTGGGATAAAAGAGAATTCAGGAGCTATTTTTCGCATTTTTTGTCATGAGCTGCTTTCGAGAAACATCTTGTATATATTGTGATCGTACGCCTTCAATTCCAAATCAAATACATTCACTAATTTAACGATTCGTGGAAATCTCCTTCAGTCTGAAGGATGAACCAATTTTCAGTATTCAGTGGAATATTTCAGTTAATTGATTATTATTTGCTTCTCAGAGCAAGGTATGGAGAAAGAAACAGGGCTAGATAAAATTATCGTTGCATATACCTCTCAGTTTTCCCGATGAAACCGTTCGTTGCCATGGATATAGGCGAATTGAATATTTGAATTCATGAAAATCATCCATCTCACCATCTCGAAATGATCTGGAGTATAATTCGATTGAAACCGAAATGAAACATCAATTCGGTCGATCACATAAATTAACTGAATTGAAATGTCAATAGTTCCAGCACTTGGCCATCATCATCAGATGTGAGAAATGATTCCATGATTCACATTGATCTCTTTCAGTTATTTCTCACATCATTACTCATGTCTCAATATGGCCTTGAGCCAAAACTTTTTGTGATTTGATTAAGGTGATGGATTTTTGAGGTCGTTGGACTTGATGTTTTAGTCAGGTTGGAATTAAATAGTGAATTTTCCCCCTATGACTATTCGATATTTTTATGTTTCAAGCCTCCGGAATTTCATGCTGGATGGGATGGTATTCTGAATGCTACCCAAAATATCAAGACATGCAATCAATTCTACCTTCTACCTGCGTCAGAGAAGACGGAAGCAAATAAAGTTGTGGGGACTGAAGACTGCTTGATCCTCAACGTCTATACACCAGTGGTAAGTGGATCTTTCATTCTGATGGAAGCTTCTGAGGAGCCTCCTATTTATAGACCCAGATTTATTTTTATTCACAGACTTACCTCAGTGGCCGCAGATTGAGGCAATTTTTCCTCAAATACTGAATTATTAGTTGAATGAAATCCAAACCATATCAAAAATAGATCGTAATCTTTGAAATTTTGTGGATCAAACGGGGTTCCTAGGCCCCACAAGGTACCGAAAATTCAAAATCATGCCGATGAAAATTCACGTAGCGAAAAGAATGAGTTGAATCAGTGAGGTTGATGAATGACACCATGTCATTGGTTGAGATAAATGTCTCACGCACTGAAATGTATGTAGAGGTTATGTCAGAATTATTACAGTGCAGTACTCTTGGATGGAAAAGAGGAACTTGCTTCGAATTTTGACCACTGCATTTTATATTGATAACATTCGTTAGAATGTTTCCCAGGAATTCAGATATTCGAATTCATTCGATATCACTATACCATCTTCATCTATTCGGTGAATGAGGATCTTCCGTACCCTGCTTTTTGTTCTTGAAGTTTCATAGATCAATATCCCTCTCTCTTTTTATTCCATCGATCGTTTCCTGAACATTCCAGAATCTTTTGTCGCGTTATTCGTCACCGCGGCATATATTGAGTATTCGAGAATATGCTGGTGCATGAAGGAATCATTGGGAGGTTGAAGAACAATCTGATATGCGTGTTACAGGATGATCGATGTACTCCTGTCTTCCCGATGATGTTTCAATATCCAATCCTCTCGAAGGGGCTTACAACATTGTACTGTCTCATGGGTGCCCTTAGTCTACGATGGGGCCTTTTGCTGGCAGAGCACACGATGCATTTACGACACCACTCCTTGACGTCTTCACTGCAGTTCATCCAGTAGAACCGCTCTCGTTCTCGCTGCAGTGTCTTTCTCACTCCTGAATGTCCCCCTGAAGTTCCATCATGTTCATATCCGAGTACTTTCGACAGTCGGCTCCCAGGGATGACCAACTGTATCCGATTATCCGATCCATCATCGCTCTCTAGATTCCTCTTGAGCAGGTCATAGTCCCACTGACTCCAGTACGCCTTGCCACGAAGAGTGACGATTCGCTTTTTTCCATTCCCGGAGCTTCCATAGTTCTGGTTACTTACTTGCTCTTGCTCGATTGGCTCAGGTAACCAATCTTCATTGACAAACGGTGGTTCTGCAGAGGGCTGCTACCTCATCCTCCAGATGACTAAAATGTGAGCACCCAGGTGGACATAGTCTTCTGGACAATGCATCTCCATCCGGTGTGCTATCTCGAAGTCATATTCCTGGAGCCTCTCGATCCAACGAACTACTTGGCCTTCGGGGTTCTTGAAATTCGGGAGCCACTTCGATGCAACGTTGTCCGTCCTGAGTAGGAATTTTTGTTCATAGAGGTACTTATAGAAGTGCTCCACTGATTTGATCATGGCCAATATTTCCCTCCTGGTAACGCAGTAGTTTCGTTCTGCATTTGATAGCACCATGCTGGAGTAACCGATGACTTGCTCTTGCTTATCTTGATACTGCGAAAGGACTTCACCAATGCCGATATTACTGGCATCTGTGTCAAGAATGAATTGCCCTTGTGAAAGTGGATACCCAAAAATCGGTGTCGTGGTCAAGCGCTCTTTCAGAGCATCACAGGCATCCTGGTATTCTGGATCCTAGTTAAAGGGACGTGCTTCTTCGGTGTGACGAGTCAGAGGCTTTGCTATATCCGAAAACATTCGAACGTAACGTCGATGATAGGTGCAGAGTCCAAGAAAACTCCTGAGTTGATGCTCATCTTCTGGTACTAGCCATTTCTTTACTGCTCGTTTCTTCTCAGGGTCGACTTTCACATCCTGCCTTCCTACAACGTGTCCCAAGAAGTTTACTCGTTTCTGCAGCAGATGACATTCCTTCAGATTGAGTGTGAGGTTTGCAGCCTGAAGTCTCTTGAAAACTCCCACTCATCGACATCTTTACTAATCACCAAATGGTCATCACTTGATGACGCTATAATTCCACCTATGAACATCCTGTAGAATCTTGAGAATCCTTGTCAACATCTCTAGTGATCATCAAATGGTTATCGCCTGATGACGCAATGATTCCACCTATGTACAATAATGTAATCACTGCGATAACACCTTGTATAATCTTGATAATCCTGACTGACAATCGATGTTCAGGTGTGAAATAATTGCTAGTGGAAATATAATGCTTAATAACGTTAAAATAGATCAAAGGAATAATATTTTATTCTACCACCAGGTGAGTATCACCAATATATAAATAGAGATATTCTTAAACGCCACTGAAATTCGTCAAATGGAACAATAAATAAAACCCGTACCTTGTGGCATCATGAGTTATTTCAGGTTGTACTCACTTTCGTGTGGAAAAGCCTACGAAATAACCTTTCTGTATGGAAATTATTCTGAGCCCATCAAATCACAAATTATCATTCATTCCAAAATAAATATCCTGTAATCGTCCATACAATCGATCAACTGATAAACATGTGGTATATTCACTGATACCCAATATTTGATCGAATATTACATCATCATCGGCGTCTGCCTTCGTCATGCAATTGAAATCATTGTGAGCTCATCAAAACACAAATTATCATTCGATTTCGAGATGAATATCATGAAATTCCCAATAGAATCGATGACTCAAATAATAATCGTCTAGTATATTCACCAATACCTGATATTCAATGGAACCATCAATATTATGCAATTAAATGCCGGCCGCCAATATCGCTTTCCGCCACCGCACAAATACACTGGGCACATATAATCCTCACTTCTGACTTGTTGAAACGCGAATTCTTCAGAAATGCGTGTATTGAATAAACTACAAAAATCACATCAAAATGGTTATATCCAACACCATGCCAAGACTGGTTACTCCCCTTGTCCCCCTCTCTTCTCCCACGCTGTCACGTCGTATAGTTCCAGACCTCGCCGTTAGTCGAGATGCCAGGGCCTGCCTTGCCCCTATCGCTGGTTGACGGCCTCCCACAGATCTTGCTTGAGGATTTCGTACTCCTGCTCATCCAGGTCGTAACAATATCTTTTTATTCAAAACATTAAATAACCTCAGATGTGCACTAGTCAACACTAAAGATGCAATTCCTGATTTTGATAAATCTGGTGTCTACCTCCTTATATGTTCTGAATCCAATGGTGAAGTATTGTACATCGGTCAAACGGGCCGCATATTCAGAACTAGGATTACTGAACATATTTGTATCATTGATATGAACTCTGAAGGAGATTTTATCAATATCAACTGCGTGTTACCTAATCACATCATTAATGAAAAACATTCAATTGATCCTAATTCAGAACTCAAATTTTTACATTTCTGTCATAGAAGCAAAAAACTGAACTCACTCGGAAATCTCGAAATTAAAAAAGCTTTAAAGAACCCTGAAATGACATCCATCAATGAACAGACTCACTTCGACTGCTTCAGGTTCTATAATGATAATAATAATGATTTCTTTGAAAAGAGTGAAAACATTTTGAAAATAAGAAGTCGACAAGCCCACTGAAATCATAAAATTAGTTTGTGGGTATCATGACTTAAGTCGTAAGTATTAAAATCTTTAACACAACTCTCACTTACATGAAAATATATAGAGTAAATCAATAACAATATTGTACTGATGAACGAAATATGTAAGTATCATTTGACATTATGTATAAGGAGTACAAACAAAAATATCACCTATCTACCCATTTGGTTTCAAGAAGAGAAAGAAATAAGAAGAAAAAAAAAAGGAAGAAAGAAAAAGGGGAAAAAGAGCTATGAGTGAAAGTAAGACAGCACATAATTGAATAATAGTAATAATAATGATATCTCTGGATAACTAATGACAATGTGATTGGGATTTGCTTGACTTCATTCAATTTCTATTTATTTATAAAAATGGCTACGTGAAGATTTCAGGAGCCATTGTATCAGACTTTTTTTAAAATGCAGTAAATCAGCATGTTGCTTCCTTATTTCAGGTAACTGGCGATAAATGTGCGGTGCCAGAAAAAGGAACGACCTCTGAACTAGAGATTTTGTCACTTTTATATTTTTTGTTTTCATTTCTATTGTATGTCTTGTGTCATGGTCATGTATTTGGATTGAGTCGTCGGGATTTTTATGTTGTATAATTAGATTTTTTTTATGTGAATCTGTCTAATTTCGAGTAGTTCGCTGTCTTTGTATAAAAGGTCGGAGGGATAGGTTTTTTTGCCGTATATGATTTTAATAAAAAATTTCTGCATAACTTCGAGTTGATGTATGTGATTTCCATGAGTTCTTTTCCATCCCGCAATTTCATATTGAATATGTGACTCTGAAGGAGAGTAGTAAATTTGCTTGAGGTGCGAAATATCTAATATATTTGTCAGATGCCTGAATTCGAAAACAATGTATCTCAATTTTTTCACGACATTTTCAATGTGAAAGTTCCATCTCATATGTTCATCGATTTCGACACCCAGATATTTTATATGTGAAACTTCTTGGATTGCAATAAGAGAATTATTATATAATGTGAGATGTCCATAGTTTGGTGTGTTGCATCTGTTGAAGCTGAAAGCTATTATGTATTTCGTTTTTTCAAAATTTATTGTCATGGAATTATCATCAAACCAGGATTATATTCTTCCCAAATCATCTTCAGCAATTTGTTCGACTTCATTCCAAGAATCTGCATCATAAATTATGACTGTGTCATCTGCAAAAGGTGATACAGTTGCTTGTATATCTATGTGGAGAAGACCGTTAATATATATTGAGAAAAGAACAGGTCCCAAGACTGTATCTTGTGGAACCCCAAATTCCACCCCCCTTTCATCACTCAATGAATTCTTGATTTGCACTGATTGATTTCATTAACTGCATAGTGATTCCCCGAAAGCCCATGTCCTCGAGACAGTCGACCAGCAGCGTATGGTCATCACATTTTTCACCTCAACGTTATCTGCTGGGTGCCAGAATAGCGAATTCGCTATGAAATTTATTTTAATTACAGAAGGCGTTGGCTTTGTAATATGATCAGCTAAATTTCTTCCTATTCCTGAGAAGTATTTATTGAAGTTGTTGGCAATATCTTCTTCGTTCGTTATTGTCTCATTATTCAGTACTAATTTCTTCACTGGATTATGATCTTTATTTTTGTTTAGATATCCATTGACGGTATTCCATAGTGCCTTCGAGTCATTCTTATTGAGATCTAATTTGTTTTCGTAATAACGGGATTTTGTATAATCGATTGATTTATTAGGTTCATTTTATTTTTTTTTGTAATTAGTTTGGTTTCAACAGATCTTACCAATGCATTTGTTATCCATGGTTGTCTCTTATTTACGCTAAACAACGTGTTTCATTGGGAAAGGTAAATAATTCAACCGTGGATAGAGGTCACTGGGGTAATTTGAAAAAATCCATGGTTAATGGGTCTTCGACTTCTTATAACCGAGATACAGGATGTTTCATAAAATTTGTCCAAATCTTCATTGTCTCATAACTTTCCAATCAACCTGAAAATATTTTTAGAATTTGGTACACTCGCTCAATCTACCTTGTGGAATTGATTGAGACAACAACAGAAGATAAAATCCAGGTCCGGCTTCACTGAAAATTCACAAATTCTTTCTGTCAGAAAACAACACCTTATACATTCGAATTTCTACTTTTTTGCCATATCTGGAAAGGAAATCAAAATCACTCATGAATAATGAGTACCTATATGCTCTGACTGACAAATTTTATGCACCCTGAACCTTCACAACTGACAGATATCTTAGCAGCGACACGAAAACACGTCAATAAACTACCAAGCGGCTTGACTCTGATGCTTTTTACTTCAATAATACATGAATTCATTTCTTTGTTTCACTTAGTAAGATTGATTCAATACATAATGTTTCATGAACTAAATACACTATCCTTTGCATGCATTCCAATATTTTAACAAGTCTCTTGTGTGTCTACCTCTAATCTTAGTATCGCTCCCATCTCTATTTCATACAGAGTTCTGTGACCCCACTGTCATTATTTCTCATGTCAGCCTTCACTTCCTGTCGAATAAATTTCGTTTCAATTTCTATTTTTGATTTTTGACACCCTTTGCCTCGCTTTCCTGGTTCAATGTCCAGCAATGTTGGAATTCCTTTGATATAAAAGATTTTTTCGAAAAAGATCTCTTCGATGATTTTCATACAAATTTTTTGACAAAGGTGATCCGCAGTTAACTGCGGACCCTGTTATGTTGAATGTTTTATGTTTCAATTTGTGATAATATGTAAACCATGAATTTTTTGTTTTCAACATGTGAATTCTCCTTAGAACAGGTGAATATTCTTAAACTCTCATTATTTGACTACTTTCCCTGACGTGGTTTTTGTCTTCCTAATTGTAGTACTCTCTGTAATCATATTGCTGATGATGAAGCTTTGAAGCTTCGAAACATGTTTCAATTTCCAATTTCAATGAAGTATAGTATTGATGGAATCGCCTGTGAGATTTCTTCCTGTCCCACAATCTGAAGTATATGAGTTATGCAGTTCTCACCTAGGTTGTTCTGCTGGTTATTTCGACCGAACAGGACATTAATTCTCACGAAGGGTTTCTGGGCAAAAAAAAAAAATCCCCTCAAATCACAATTCTCCAGATTTCAATTAAATGAAGTCCTCTCAATACATGAATTCTGTTCGTATTTATGATGTTATAGTTACTCACACGTGTGTACAATGCCGCCATTTTGTATTCAAAAATAATAAGCTGAATATGTTCCTTCGATATCAAATATCTATTTTTTTATCACCCAACTAACAATCAGAAGTTTGCCCAACTATAGCTATAATAATTGGATTCCACTTGTTCTCGATATGTCACTTTATATCACCAGTTTTGGTAATGTATTACTTATCATCATTTCACACTCGGCAGTGTTACCTTTTTTGCTAGATGTCAAGTGAGAACACTATTTCTGGTCGATCAACTTCATTGGTTTTATAACGAGAAGCTCGATAAGCTCAAGAATACCAATTTAGATTCATGTTATCGAAGTTAATTGAACACAAGTCAGTTTTTGAAAGCCTGTTCAGATGAGGGTGTCATGATAAGGGTTATCGAGATCTTGAAATGATTGTTGAATAACAACAAAAGGTATGACGAGTAGAAAAGTAGGAGTAGGAGGTTTTCTCTTCAGCGCAGCATGTCAAACAGATGATGAATTGTTTCTGATTTCTGACTTCGTGCGCAAGACTTATGACTCAAAACCTACCAGAGCTATAGCACGCTTACAGAAAAGCCTGCATCACAGCTGCAGAAGATCATAAATTGGGGCTCATCCGAAGAACTGACTTCGGCTTCTCTTAAGTCAGACACGCTTGAATTAAAAACAGGGAGATTTATCATTGGATGTCAGGATGAGCTCTTCAATATTCTCGTCTACCGTAGTTTTGTCATAGGTGTGAAGGCATTGCAAGTACTCTACTAGCATTTGAGGGACTCGTACGGAATGGTAGAGATCCAGTGCTGCCCTATGCTACGGACGACATTGATTTTTTGGTCTATGATGAAAGTCCATGATATCTCAAAGAGGAGTGAACAAGACAGACTAGACACATATGTGGAGATGACTCGGTGTGTCTTTTTTGCCTACAAATCAACAATAATGAAAACTCAATTATTTTCCTATCGAATTTTTTTGAAGTGATTATTCAAAGAATTTTCTCATCATCGAAATCAAAAGCTTCAGGTTCGGAACGAATAGGAATCAATGCGGAATTACAAGTCTCACGATACTGCTCTATATTTGCCATACATCATCTTCTGCGTCGATAGCGAACTCTTTCCATTTATAATAAAGAAGTCACATGTCATACCAATAGTTACGATTCCTTATCCGCTACATAATCGCTACATAATCGCTTCCAAGCCGTACCATTGAATAACAATGTATTGGAAGTAACGAAATCTGGAAAAGTGTACCTCTAAGTTCCATACTGAGGCAAATTCCTATTGCTATGTATATATATTCGAATTTTATGGAAGAAATACATTGGCTTAAACTGCCTATGTTTATCTCACGGTTATGATACTCAGGTTTTCACTTCAAGGAGATGAGTAGCAATCAGCAATTGAATCAATTAAACCAGATCATTAATTTATATTTCCATTTTCTACCAATTAGGGCCTCTCAATCAACTATGTCAAGTCAAATGTCATGCTCATAGCCAAAAAAGTACACGAAAAAGAAATGGAATACGAATTATAGTAAGATGAGGAAGTTCTTTCTATCACCTTTTGATTGGCTTCGTCTCGAGATATACTACACATATTGTGAATATTCATATATCAGGAGCGTTTTTTGAATCGGAACAGATTTTTACAAACATGTTAACTGACTAACTGATATGATTGAAACATTTCAGGTCCCTGGAACTAATAAGAAATTACCAGTATACTTATTCATCCATGGTGGTGCATTTATCGGAGGAAGTGCAAGTGGTTATAGTCCCAAGTATCTGATTGATGGAGAAATAATCGTTGTAACGATCAATTACCGACTGGGCCCTTTAGGTAAGAGAGAAAGACTTGGAATATATATTTTGATCTGAAGGTGATGAATGCGTGATTATTTATCGATTATTGATACGAGGTATCTCTTTCATATTCATGAACATCTGATGAAAAACTCATAAGAAATCATCACTTGTACTGTCTATAGACATTTGGGTGAAGAGTCCAATTCATATTCATACTACATGAACAAAAAACACGGTAAATTCTTTCCGGTTTGAACAAAATTATCAAAATAGCAGTCAGAACTTCGAATTTTTGGATGAGAGAAGGATCAGAAAATATATTTCGTAGAACACTCGACAGGAAATATTCGCTCGAATAACGTTCAAACGGGAACATTGTGGGGATCCTTATTCTGGGACCCTTACTTTGACGCTTGTCGAACAGGCTTCTGGGACCTGTCGGGGTGTCTCGAGCGCCAGATTCTTGATAAAGTTGATTTACTCCATCTGCTTCCCCAAACTGAGTTTGAAAAGAGGCCCAAGGTAACAACAGTGAAGAAAGACATCCACTGGATGTCTACAGTAAACCAGGGGTCGGAGCTATTGAATCGACCTGGGAGCAGGGGGCCAAGAGAGCATAGGCTTCGATTACACACTCTTGGGGAATCCTTAAATACTGGTTGCTCTGAATAGATGTTTTGAGTCGTCACTTTTTGTGACTTGAGTACTACAACTCTTACAGGTGAATTCCTGGAATTTGAACTCGTTTTATACTCTAGTTGTCAGGATAGGGAAATCAGAAGCACATAAACAGGTCAAGTATAGATTTATTCAGCTCCTCTCGTTCATCAAAGGTAACAGGCATCAATTAAATGGAACATAGTCTTATACAATCAGGTTGATGTTATTGAATTGACCTCCGCACTCAGAATAATGACATTTGACATAAAGAATAAATGCAATTGACAGGCATGACGGCTGACGTATGGCAGTCACGAGGCACAAAGTGTTCAACTGAACATATGCATACCACTTTCACAAGTACACTAGCAGAGCGTGTCTAGTACGTTAGGTGTAAGTGCAGGCGCAAGCAAAACAGGGACAATGAACCACCCAATACGACTAGGAAAGTTGCGAACGAGGGGCTATTCAGGAAAGTGAGTTCGGTATCGTCAGGAATGATCACAGGAATGAAATCGTCCAGTTAAATCATTAACGCGGATGAAACTGGTGAAAAGTACTCCTTCAGAGTGTTGTAGCTCTAACTCTGGCTCATAGCAGTATTCGGAAGCCGTCTGCAGGTTGGCTTGCGAATCCTACTCTACTCAAACAAAGGAGACGTGCCCTGAATCCACACAGGCGGGCTTCCATTCTCGGAACAATCGGAGTAGGGTGTCCCTAAGCTTGTGGCGAGGTCCACCCAAAGGTCTAGCCGCAGAGCAAAGCTCAGGAGACACTACTATTTTGAAAACAGTATCTACGTTACCAATGAACTCTGAACTTCTGGACGTGGAGTATTTTTCAACAGACAAGTTCTTTATCTACTCAGGCGATAACTTGCTAGATACAAAACTCACTTTCAGTACAGGGTGGTCACTGATGACCTATAAGCAATAAGCGTATAGAAACCAATTCGAAATAGTATACTTGGATGAAACGAGTACTGCTGGCTGCGAAACTCTCGACACTGCTACTGGCGCGACCGTGAAATCTTGGATATCGGCACGGGCGACGCAAATCGAAACACTCGATGAATTTTTCGAAAAATAATGAAGTAATTGCAGCTACGTTAAAATTTCTGAATTGTAGCAAGAGGCGCAAACAGAAAAACGATATGCTGACACTGAATCAACTGGACTGTGAAGAGTGACTGGAATCTGAACTGAAAGCAAAAGAAAAAATAGCGCAAGTACAGAAACACTGGTGAACCGACTGGAAAGTGATACCAAAGAACCGAACTCAAGAACCGAAGAACTGAAGAACTGAAGAACTGAAGAACTGAAGAACTGAAGAACTGAAGAACTGAAGAACTGAAGAACTGAAGAACTGAAGAACTGAAGAACTGAAGAACTGAAGAACTGTAGAACTGTTGAACTCTAGAACTAACTAACTGCTGGACTAACTGACTCCTCGCTCCGATGGACCGAGTATTTATGTCCTGCCTAGACCTCGACGCAAATTGAGTAAGGCCAACAGCTATCCTTGCTCCTGATCGGCCAGTTTTGACCGACCTCGTGATAATGACGGTAACAACCGTGAAAGCCGAAGTCCTCCTTGGAAAATGAAAAACGCGGAAATAATATTTTCTCGGCCGAAAGGGCTCAGGCACATAATCAACCTCCTTTGCTGAAGCTACTGAATCGATATTTATATCCTACAAGCAGAAAAATTCAAGTTATTTTTAGGTAAATAATTGCATCTTCAAGGTCAAGGCCGAACATGTGAAAATTATGTATCTTCAGGTAATCCTACATTCAGGGGTTTCCGAAAGGTGCTGGAAGTCCTCTCGCATCTCCAAGACAGGATTAAATTTCACTTTATTCATCAGGATTGCTTTCCAAACATAATAGAGGCTACCAAAGAACTTTTCTTACTTGTAAATCAGAGAGTCAATTTCTGGAGCTAGGACAGGGTTATAACGACACTAAAGACATCCCTAGTAGTTGGTTCACGAGACTAATATCTTTCAGAATAGGTTTGCCATGAGGAGGTGTGGAACGAACTGCATATTTTCAATATCAGCTAGATGTCGAGTAGGAGGTTACAATCTGAGTTATAAGCCATTATGAGACTCCTGTATGTTGGGTGATAACAGATTTTACTGGAATATTAGCTCGAAATGGAAAAATATACGATAGATGAGAACCGTTCCTTAGTAATGAAGTCCTCAAAAACACTTCATCACAACATAAATTATCAGAGAATCGCCTCACAAATCTCTCAATGAGGAGGTCTCGTTTTCTTCGTCGTTCCTCTTATTGGCCCATTTGAAAGATATGACAGTTGTATCGAGCAAATAAGCGATTCAAAGGTGATATAATCCTTGTTTCATTATTTCTGAAATCAGTTCCAGGTGGTCGGGCGTCGAATGCGGCATCGACACTAGCAATTTTTTTAAAGAATCCTAAATCGACATCTTACCTGACTTGTCAGTCACTTACTGTGATTATTGTAACGGTGGTTATGGGCCATGAATAACAGGCGAACATAGGTCTATTTTTCATGCAAGAACATGTTTCAATCAGGATTTCCCACCCACAATTCCCAACTACTGAGAGCAAGAAAAATCTGAACGCATCCAGGATAAATCGATTTTTCGAAAAAAAGTCGACTTTTATTTCATTCTTCTCCCAACCGGAATCCGGAGAGTGTTTCACATTTGGGTCACGGTTCAACGAACTCTCGACCTTTGATACACATCCTGTGCCAATTCTGATTTTCAAATCTCTCCATCTGAAGTTTCAACCTCAAAATGAGCCTGAGATATCGAAAATCGGTTGAGGTGGAAAAAAGTTATAACTGCAAAACCAGAAAGTCGGTTTTTTGAAATCAATCTATGAATAGGAGAGATAAAGAAACAATTCTCTGAATATCTCAAAGTGATGAGATTTTCTTCATGCCTCCATTATTAAACTTGGAAAAACAGTTTGTTGCCTCTTTTGGAATCCTCTCGAATAATCCGAAACTTTACACAGTGCGAAAAAAACTTTGTAAATATTATATGCTGAGACCCTCATGTTTCAAAGCAGTACCAGATGATAGCTGAAGGACTGAAAAAGCGAATAGTGAGATATGGATCCAAATTTCTCAAAACAGAAGAAAGTGATTCACATTTCAACAGGAATAACATTTCGAGATGCGACGAACTAAGTGTTGCGTAGTTTATTTGGACATTTCACCTTGCCGTAATAACTCTTCGATTTCTTCATTTGCCGCTTCGTACTTGATGAATGAACTTGAAGAAATTTCTACTCGAGAATGAAAATATAGAGATAAACAATATATTTCCATACAGAGAGTTTTATAAGAAGACTCACATGAGGAAATGGTAAAAAGGGCAAATCGAGACCAGTTGATGTATACAGTGTCATTCAAAGAGTCAGCATCAAAATGGAAAAGCTCTTGATGATAATTCATTCTCAGATCCAATTTGGGCGTCAAGTTCCGTTTGAGGAATATGGAAAATGGACTATTTGGTTGGGTACACGTAACTTTCGCTACATGTCAAAATCACCATTCCATTGATCAATCGCTAAAAGTATGCTTATTTTTTTGAAATTCAAAAAAGTTTATTGAGAAGAGTTGTCTCTATTTTGATTCCATATGCATTGTGTCTCGAATTCGAACATTCAGAAACAACTTGTAGTTTTTGAAAAATTCTTTAAAATATGAAGGAATATCAACACCGACAAAACTATTCCATTCTGCTAGCTTCATCATGATACTTACTCTGAATCACTTATCATTGACAGAAATATGTAAAGAAGTTGATGTATAATTGATCATTCAGCAGCAGAAATAATTTGAATTGATTTCTTCAGTATTGAAATAATGCTAGTGTTATCTATCAAAATATCATCGAACTACTTGACGTATTCAACCGAAGCTCAGGAAAGTTTTGTCGAAGTTACAATTGTAAGAATTCAACAAATATCCGGAACTCGAAGTTGGAATAGAACGTTCAAATTTGAAAAACTTGTATGAAATTGATATAAAAATAGCTTTTTTTTGTACACTCCCCAAGCCTATTTCATGCGATTGATTAAAACACTCTTCACATGTAGCGGATGTCAAGTGACTCCGACGGAGTATGCAATTTTCCATCTTTTTTTTAAGCAGAACTCAACGCCAAAGTCTAATTTTAAGATAGATTGTCACATGAATGACACGGTATTGAGTGTGTCGCACTTAATCGAAGCACCCTTGTGTTTCTCGTAATTCTTGAGTAAGGATTCTGAAATTCACATGAGCGAGAGATA